CCATTCATTCAGTGGGCTGCTGAAAAAAATGTAATGACCAGCTGTAGGATTATCAGAACTATGTACTCAGCATTACACCTAAAATTTAATTCAAACAAATGGAAAACAAACCCCCAAAAAAGAAAAAAAGAACAGCAGTAGGTGAGGTTGGATGTTATAGTTCTGTTTGTGCATGCACAAACTTGAGTGCACATCACTTAAGCTTTGATGAGACAACCCCCTACCCATGACACAGAAACGTGCTGCAATATGAATTCACTGCTTCTCCCCTCCTCCAGCATCCAGCTGGTTCACCACAGCTCCATCCAGAAGTCCACCAAGGAACTGAGGAGCATGTCAAAGAACAGGGAAATCTCCTGGCCGCTCTCTACGCTGCCCGTCTTCAACCCAGTCAGCGGCGAGGTGGTTCCACCCATCCACCCCGACAACTACGAGACCACCAGCATGCCGCTGATGCAGACACAGGCGTGAGTTCAGGGATTTGGTGGGAAACATAAGACGGATGGATGACTAAGTACAGCCACACATACGCCCACACTCATTAGCAGATGCAGATATGAGGCTTATAGGTGTTAAATGGAAAAGTTGGAACAATGCCATGTTGTTTCAAGCATTTTCCAACTATGTGGTGTTTACAACTATAGCTACAGAAAGCAAGTCAGGCCTTTGGAAAGTACAACTAGAGCTTAAGAGCTTCAAGCTGTCCCATGATTTCTCTTAATGGGCTTGAAACTAACAAAAAAAAAACCCAAACATTTTTATAACATGCTTTGGCATAATATTGTTGTTTATGATTTCAGGAATCTGCAAAACCAGATTACGATACCACAGCAGCGGCCATCAGGTGAGAATCTTAAGACAGCCGTCTTGTAATATGAAGCAGCTGAATGATTAGAACTTTCAGGAACATATGTCAGGAGTATATTTCCAGGAATTCTTTGAAATGACAGATGTTTAACAGCAGCTCATAGCATAGAGTCAGCATACCTGGATGTCTGCTATTGGTAACACACTCTCTCTTGCCGAATGTTCATCAGGACTTCAAGTGCAGTAAAGCATGCCTCTGAAGGTTTAAGCACCTTCACAGTAAAAATGACTTACAATTCACTTGCCTTTATATTACTTCTCACTAAATTCAGTTCTTGGACTATACTGGCATCAATAATGTGAATCCATATAAAACCACTTGGCTTCATAGTTTCTTATAACTTCAGTCTGTTCCTTCTGCATCACTGCACCGTTATCATCTGCTGCATGAGCCGACTAATGGTGACGCTGGCGTGTGAGCGCCCTCCTGTGAGCACGGGTATCAGCTGCATGATGCACTAACCGAATCCTCTCTCTGTTCACTGCTAACAAAGGAGATAACTATGTCATGTCAACATTTCGAAGGCTGGAGGTAGGTGCTGCCGGCTGTTCATGATTTAAAGCTGAGATAATTTGGGATCCAAGCAGAGAAGCTGCAGGAAAAACTGTAAATGTTCAGATTTTTCATCTTCTCCATATTTATTTCACCATGCTAAAAATGGTTGTGTTGCAAAATCCAGAAGACATTACTCTTGAGAGAGTGGTCTGAAGTAAAATTCTAATTTCTCCTCTGAAATTCTGGACCAATTGTCCAAAAATTAAGTGAGCATCATCTGTGGACTTTGTTAATCTTGAGGTTATAAACTTCAAAACATGATCAGTCTACCGTGATGTGCAGTGTCTCATTGTAGTTAGGCATTTTTATTTTGCTAAATGTCAAATCATGCTTTAATAAGCTATTTAACACCTGCAACTAACTGCAACTGTGATGCTTTTGCAGGCCTTTAAATTAGACAGAGCATAAAATTATTATGCTTGCAAGTCAGCTACTGTAGGAAGGGACCAGGCAGGGTACAAACTGTCAGTCCTAGTTGTCAATAGCATGCATCAGTTACCAGCGAACAATAAGCACTAACAAAGTGTGTGCAGTCTGCTTGGATCCCAAGCATTGCTGCTTACATCTGTATTTAGTGTTAGATTTCTGGAAGTTTTGTCACGTCTCTGTGGTTCAGCTGTTGCTTTCACTGTGTTCCAGGTAAATGGTATTCCTGAGGAGAGAAAGGTGGCTGAAGCTCTGAATTTATGACCAGAAGCACCAGTGTTGCAGCTGCCCCTCTTCCTTTGTCCTAAAATTTGTGCCAACCTGCATGTGTTAGCAGTGAAAATTTTATCGTCCACTTGCGCACTTGCACCTTGACTAGTGAGTGTGAAAAAGACCCGAAGAGCTTAGCCGATTATAAAGATAACTTAGACTATTTTGGAATATCCGTTTAAATGTTTAAAGTGTGATTAATATGTTTGTATGTCATACTGCTTTGCCCAGCGGACCTCTCGGGGCGTAAGGGTGTTTTATATTGAAATGCTTTCGTCGCCATGTGTTAGAACATTTGTTCAATGTGTCATATGATAATAAACTCTTTCAAAATAACTTTGTCCCAGTGGAAAACAAGAAAAAACACCCCCTTCCCACTCCATCCACTAAAAGAAGCCAAAACAGCACATTTTTATGAAGATATTCTTAATGTACAACTTAATTCTTAATGAATAAAGGCATTTATAAATAATATGGATACATTTCACATTTTTTTAAGACATCACAATTTTTTTAATACATGTAATATATTTCAAAAGAGGCCCTACACGGGGTATAAATAGTTGTTGCTTTTACGTAACCAAAGAGATCAATTAAGGCCCGATACATTAACCAAATTTACTGTATCGCGGTTGTTCACTAATAGATGAGAAAAAACCCCAAACCATCATACAGATCAGTAAACTTAACACACCAAAGAGAATAGAAACATCTATATGCCATTCTCATCTGTACAGTGAGGTGCTGAGTGGTTAAAAATTAAACATTTACTTGGCTCCCAGTTTGAGAACAGAACCCAAACAACCAGAAAGAAAGATGAAAGCTGCACATTTTGCGCAAATTGTACCGCTGTGAACCCACATTACATAAATGAATAGAGGATGACTTAATGTTTTCTACCTGATGGCAGCTGAAATAAAAAAAATCATTTGCAATACATCTTATGTTATATTGTCATAAATCTGCAAACAACATTTGATTGAGCCAAAAAAGAAAAAAAGAAAAGTGCATTGAGTAAGTGCACTGGTACTGTGCTAAACTCAACGTTAAACGCTGAATATTACCTCAACAAGTAAATAAAAAAATAAAAATAAAAAAAAGGGGGGGGGGGGGGGGGGGGAGGGAGCAGATCTTAAAATAAAAGTCATCTCCCCCTCACATGTTTGCCGTCCTGGCAAACATGTGAGGGGGAGATGAGGAGGGGACAGACACCGCCTGATGAAATGTACGACATTTTTCCTTAACAGTAATGTCAGCTCACTCAGTGCATTACCTAGTGGTTTCTAAATGATGTGGTTGTGGCCCCCCATACAAAGTGCCTAAAACATGGAAGTTTATGATCACAGCTGCATCACAGATGTAAGTCTTCATCTGAAGATGTACTGTAGGTATATGCCACTGGGAAAACCCCCAAAACAAAACACCACACAGTCTGTTTAAAAGGCATCACTAAGACATCACTTCAGTCACTCATTCACTGACTACAAAGTTCAGTGGCTGTGGCACCTCAAGAAAAACAGATTGGTAACAATTTAATGGAAATAAAAAAAAATAAAGTGTCTTAGTGAGGCGTTGGGTAAACATAATTTCCATCATCTTGTACTTTGAAGGATGTGGAGCAAATTCCAAGATCAGTAGGAAAGGAAAAAAAATAAAAATCTAAAATCTCTCAGGCTATGCAAGTTAGGTTGAGCTCAGGTGACTATAAGGGGGGGGTGGGGGGGGTGGTGTCATATTGCTTGTGGGAGAAACCACTCCCATAGGGACAAATTTTATCATTGGTTTAAAAGGCAGTCATTCAAAACAAGTTGATCTACAGCGCCCCCTGCAGCCTTTCAGAGCCACCACAGCCCCTTTCTGCACAGGTCAAAGGTTTTCCTTTAATTTGTCACCCAGCAGTTTGCTTAGAACAGCATGTGAAACTTGGTACACTTTCTGCCAGAGGTATGAGGCATGTTTCAATGGACATTAAAAAAAAAAAACAATAACAGACCAAAATTACTGTGGAAGCAACGCTGTATAAAATAAATCTGTCACTACTGTACAAATATACACAGACTAGGAAGTAAGCTACAGATGAGACAAGACGGCTAAAAGGATCAACCTCACCATCAGGTAATTGTCTATGAGGGTCTGGGATGGATACAAAATTGTCTATAGAACACTTCCGTCACAAACAGCAGTCGCAGAGTATAAAATAAAACAAAGCCAGCCCCCACCTGCCCCACCCTCCCTCCAAAAAACCGTATAAAATATAAACTTAATTTAAATCATTAAATACTGTACATGTCACATAGAATTTCAGCGCTACAGCAGGTGACCACAGCCTTTCAGCAAAATTACGCACAAAAAAAATAAAATAAAAAATAAAACACAGCAAAAACACGTCGAAGGATATTCCAACATATTAACCATTGCACTCCAAGTTTTCTGACTCTAGTCACTCTTTGATCATCCGAGCCAGTCGTTGGTCCATATATCTCATATTTAGATATCTGACGCAGTTTGAAGTCACCAGGAATACTGTACAACGAATGTTGACGATAAAAATGCAGCACAATTTAACGCATTTGTTGTAAAAGAGTAGATATCTGAATATGCAGGTTATGGATCCACCTGAGTGAAATCCCTCCTTCAGCTGCTACTGCACAACATGGACGGAGTGTGTGCCAGGTGATCCCTCCCAAAGCGATTTACAGGAAGTTCTGCATGTAACAAAAACGTATTATCAGCGTTTGGCTAAACAGACGCGACGCTGCCAAATGCAGCAGGCATGAGTCTTAAAATGAGGACGTCGTGCTTTGTTTTTTTAGATTCTGCATTTCCAAAATCCTGAAACCAGATATTGTAAACATTTCATTGGTTTTTTTTTGTGTGTGTGTTTTTTTTTTTTTTAACTCCTTTCCCACAATTTTGACTTTGCTGTTAAAGGAGTGACTCCTTCTCTGTTGGGAATTTGTCTTTTCTTCAGTGTGTGACTTTCACAGCAGTCAGAAAAGTACGGACTCTGCTCAAATGTGGCCAGCGGACAGACTTTGTTCTCCCAAGGGTCACCGCTGCCAACATCGTCTCACCAGTAGCTAAAACACAAGGCTGCCTCCTGACTTCCATCTGTACCTCACTTCAATCTCAGCAGGGTCTTAGTGGGTCTCCCGCCCCTCCCCCAGATCCCCTCAGGAGATGTCCATCAGGCGCCAGGTGTGGGCTGGCCAGCCCTGGACACCAGCAGTATAACGAGACTGAGAATCCCCATGGCCCCCAGTCTCTTCAGCAGAGCCATGCTGTCTTTGGGGATGACCACCTGGGCCAGGTCGTTGGTGATGAGGGAAATCTCATGAGCCACACAAACAAAGATGAAGGTGCTAACCAAAATGTTGAGGGAGGGGTTTCCTGGGATGAGGACCAAAATCCCCTTGGTGTCAGCTGCAAGCCATATGTGGTACTGGCAAATGAAAAGCTGTGGGACACAAAAAGCATGGTTTTAAAAAACACCTCTCATAAGACTCTAGTCTTTTGTGATTGGAGATTTATTTAAGGGTTATATTGCTAACTGTGACTCTAAAGCAAGGAGAACCTTACCTCTAAGGAGATCTTTCCAAACCATGCAAAGAATGAGCTATATATAGAACGGGCATAGCCAGGAATGTTCCTGATGAGAATGAAGGCCAAAATCTGCCCACAAAACAGACCACAGACATTTTTAGGAATCCAAGTGTGACGTTACAACAGGTAAATCATGCTTATCACTAAAAAAGTAGCAGGTCAAGCTTGTTGAAGAACTGTAAACACTAAAGTGGTGTAAACAGACGAATGGTTAAATATAGTAATGGTGGCAATATATGTAGAAAACATATCTTTTCCAGTGTGAATTGACTGTAGATAACATGGTGAGCTATTAGGCTTGGTCTCACAATCATATCAGACTGTCATGAAATCATGTTAAGTAGTAAATTTAACTTCATGACTCAGATGACATGGGCCAAAACTACGAAGAAAGCTCATCATATCCAGGTTATCTGGATTCACTTTGCCTTACACTGGGAGGCATGATAAGCAGTCAGACACAAAGCTAGATCGTCAGTTAATCCAGGATTGAATCTTTAAAAAGACACCTTTAGCTTTTATTCTCTCAGCTGCAACATCAGTGATGTTTGAGAGCAAGTAAAGAATAAAAGTAAAAGAATGAATTTAAAATTAGACAACAGAAAAAAATAATAATAAAGTTGCCTCTAATAATTTATATTTCTTACTGATCAGAGAAAGGCAAAGACATTAGACACTATTAGAAAACTTAGACCTTTCTACTGATGGCGCACAGGAATGGTGATGCTATTTTCCAGAGAACTGATTGGTCAGCAGACAGCGATTTCACACCTGATGATCTCTAATCTTGTTTGTGGTACAGGTTTCCGAGGCAATATACCCTGAAGTTACATGCATGAAACATCACAGTGCAGGCCTCTGATGTCAGGGTTGTTTCCAAACATGTGAATTAGCCAATCAACACAGAACAGTGGGCGAAAGCGCAGATGTCCCAAACAGTTCAGACATTAAACAGTCTTTAACCTTCCAGCTTTTTAGCACAAACTCTGTATATTGTTCATCTGAGCTAATGTGAGAATGAGGCATTTAAAGCCTCAGCGTCATCAGTCCTGCCTCCAGGTGCCACCTCTTAACCCAAAATCAAATGCAGGATTTCCAGCAGTAACAACTAATCGGACTCAGAGAAACTTTCAGACTTGATCGCACCAACACTTCATGTGTGAAAAGCCAAAGAAACAAAGATAAGGACAGATAAAAACTGTACCTGGACCACAGAGATATAGGGATGCATCTCGTTGCACTCGGTTTTGGTTTTGCAGCTGCTTGCCCATATTGAGTAAGTCTAGAATGACGTGGAGAAGATTTTAAGTGCCACATTTTTCCAAACAGCCAGTAAGTTAAGCTGATACTGTAATCTCCAGTTAGTACAACAAGAACTTTCCAAGGCTTTGTCACATAAGTAAACATGGCTCCTTTTTAAGCATTCCCTTTTGCACATTGTGTTTATTACTTAAATATACAAAGAAGTCTAAATTTAAAAAAATAAATATTTAGCATTAGATTAGAAGAATTATGTAACAGATGATAACTGATCTAAATTAAGAACTAATGCTCAGCACGGGTATTTTGGTAAGACCCAAAATATGTGAAATGCAGACTTACTATGAAGGAGACAACAGAGAGGAAGAGGAGAAAGTTGGAAATCTTGGCAGAGAAGAGAGTCTCTCCTTTTCCCTCTGACAGTACCTGACGCTTCTGCAGCACCAGATAGATGAAGGCAAATAACATGCCATGTATCACCGCCTGCAGAGGAGTGCCAACACATTAAAAGATTACAGCAAAGGCCAGAAAATTTGTTATCACTTCGGTAACAAATATATTAAAAAAATAAAAATTTTAAAAAAAAAAGGGGGGGGGGGGGGGGGGTGTTCTGTCATGTGAAACACGAGTGGACAAAAGCCTGGCTGCACCTTGAGGAAACACATTTGACTTACAAATCGGTCCAGCTTCCATCTGAACCACCACTCGTGGATGCTGCCATTCAGCTCGAAGAGCTTAGAGATGGGCCACACAGAGAAGACGCGCTCAAAAACGCCCTGGAGTCATAATGCAAAACACAGAAATTACATAAAACAAGTAGCATTTTAAAAATGGAGTAAACATCCGATTTAAAAAATAAAATAAATCATAGCACAGCTTAGTGGTCAATATGGTGCTGCGTGAACAACTTAGGACATGTGACCATTTACATCTCTTAAACTTAAATATGCAATTAAAAGAAAGTAGAGTTACACTTAAGAACGCTTTCAGCTGACCCACCTGTGAAAAGGCAAAAAAGCAGATGAACATCAGGAGGCCCAGTAACTTTGCCAAGACTCCAAAATGCCAGACGCCACTACCTGTCCAACAAGGAAGACATATGAAACGCAACCCTGCTGCTTGCACTTATGACATGAATTAATCAACTGTGTTTATTCACACAGTGCAGGACACGACTGAGCGGAGTATATAAAGGTCAGTAATTTGACACCTACTGTTAGCCGTCTTCTGAAGGATCTGAGGCCACATAGCCATTGTGGTGTAGATGACAACAAACCAGAATGTGACCAAGGGAACAAAGTAATAGAACTGGTACGGTCGGTCCATTACCACACACAGCACCAACACCAGGAAGTTCAGACGGAAAAGCACCTGTGAATGAATATGACACAAACACCTAAGCAGATACCCAAAAATCACACTATTTATCTGAACCCAAATTATTCTGTAATAACAATCATAATGTTATTGTCACAGCTGCCATTTTTAAAAATCACTCAGTCACTGAATCCCTAGTTTTGACCACTGGATTTTGTTCACAGAGCGGAAACGCCAACACTTCAACTTAAGTTTTATTTTGGTGACGAGATCTAAAGTCACAGGGAGCCAGTGTGGAGTGGAGGACAAGGACTGTTTTTGTGTAGGTGAGTGTTCAATGCGTGGCGTGTCAGGCAGATTATGAGTGATGAATGTTCTCCTGCAGGATACCACAGTCTGAATCTAGAGGAAAAGGTCATGGTGCGTGTTGTTGTCCTTATGCACCGCCTTTGGTCTTGAACATTGAGGTTTCTTTCACTGCCGTTTGGTCTTTGGGTGACCAAAGTACCAATAATGATCCTCTACTTGAAAGTTTGAGAGCTGATGTAAGTTTGTGCAAGTCTGAGACATCAAAGTTGTCACATGCATGTAATCAGAGCGGAGGTGATCCCCCCCCAAAAAATAGCAGCGCACTGGAAAATCGTCCAATTGTTTTTCTTTTTATGGACAGAACTTCTCTATTACACCTCATGTGCATGATTGTCTGCTATGACTGAGAAACAAATGTCAATAAGAATATAAAGTTAAAGTATAACTGAAAGCACCCCTAACCTGGCACACTCTGTAAAGTCCAAAGTCTCCTTTGAGCCAAAAAAACGAAAAGTGTCCATAGCCAGTTTGAAATAGGTACGCTGCCACCAACACCCGCACATGCATGTACACTGGGATGAACTGAAAGACAGAAAAATAACCATCAGGCTCTTCAGACATCAACATACACAGCAGGAGACTCAAACTGATTTTTGTAGACATAATTGGGACTCACAGCGCTCGCTCCAGATATGTGATAGATGAGGATGACGAGCTGCATCCAGCCTTTCCACTCGTCTGTTTGTTCTCGGTTGAGTAATTTTGCCTGCGTGGAAGCAAAGAAAAAAATAAAATAGTGAGATTATTTAGAGACTGTTATACTGTGCTGTTTGACGCAAAAACAAAACTTTACTGAGAAGCACCGTCTCACCTCCTTGCTGTTGTCACTGTAAAACACTCCCAGTACAAATATGTAGATGAGAGGGATGAAGAACGTGGAGTGCGTGTAAAACTTCTGCTCTTTCATGAACACATCTGCCCTGTCACAAAGGTAAAAATAGCCCATGATGACGCCCATCCTGCAGAGAGCCTGAAAAGGTGCTTTTGGGCCGGGGGGAACAGCTGCAGTGGCTGGCTTCTTCTCCTCTAGGCTCTCCACATCAGGGGGCACGTGTCGGCGGTGGCGATTGTTGCCAAGGATGTGGAAGACCATGATGACCACGGCTGAGCCAAGGAAGAAAAGAGCCGACAGTTTCTGGAGCAAGTTAGGGGCTCGTAACGTCTGACAGCATGAACCGTCGATGGGCCTCAGTATTTTGTTGCACACAGAGTTCATGAGGATCATGGCTCCCTGCCAGGATGGTTAAAAGGAGAGGTGAAGGGGAAGTGGGTACTAATCAAGGATACCGATAAAATAACCGCACTAAAGCTGGACTCATTAATTAACTTACCACACTCCTGGTGCTCTCAGGCAGGTGCAAACCATCATCTGACTTGATGATGGTTTCCAGCGCAGCCTGACGGGAAGCAGCCACCAGTCTGACCCGAGATCTGCCATTACGCTTGCTGCTGTTGAGCACATCCACTGCTGCTTCATTGTACAGCTCCAGCTGCTGGTTGGTGATCATTTTCCTGTTCTCACTTAACACCTCTTCATTTACTGGATCTGCAGAAGGAGTTTAATCAAGAGGGTCCATGCATGGAAACATGAAGTGAACAACCATTGTGCAACGTGGGAAATGACTATTGAGTGTGAAATGCTAAGTAGGAGGTTCAGAGATGTCAGTGTGGCACCTTATTTATTTTGCCTGTTTGTTGTTTGCAGTAAATTCTAACAATCAAAAAGTTAAAAATGGAAAATGTTTAACAAACAGATGTGAAGTACAGCTGCAAATTTATTAGGCGTGTGTGCGGATTGGAAACTATTAATTCCTCTGTATGTTAACACCAAATGAGTCTTAATATTTTCCAGTCATGCCTCATACTTTAGAAGCCTGTCTATGATCATAAAAAGATCTTGTATTGTGCGAGTGGCTGAAGCTGAGCACACCTTGCAGCACCCAGTAGACCTCCCCATGCTCAGCCAGCTTCTCCAGCTGCCCCATGATTGCAGTCAAGTTGACTTTGTACTGCTGGAGGGCCTCACTGCTGCCACCGTGCAACTTGATGGACCACTGTGTAAATGGATAAACAGTCAGGACTGACATAACTATCGGCAGCCACCACGTCACACTTGTCTCATATAAAACATGCAGGCATTTACGCAGGTTACCGTGGCAGCTCCGAGGACGAGAACATCTGGCTTTGCTGAACCTTCCTGCAAAGCAAAAGAGACGCCGCACTTAAGTTTACGAGCGGCACTTGATTCGCAATTTCCCCCACTTGTTACCGTTACTCACACGTGTCCATGATATCAAGCGTTCCTTCATTGAATTATTTGCCTCGGGGTACCACAGAAAGTCCTAAACACAAAGATGAAGTTTGAAAAGAAATCTTGTGGCAGAGTGTTTAGAAGAAAAAAAACATAAACCGAGAACATGTTAAAACCAGGAATATATATATAAATAAATAGCTCACCACTTTAATAGAGTAGCTCTTGTCTTCAAAGGAAATGTCCTCATGCTTCAGATGTTAGGAAGTTGACAGACAGAGAGGAAGTGTGACATACAGTCAGTGATGCTTTGTCCCAGCTTGAGACCAAAACAGTTAGTACTGTATAGTTATAGGGTTATCCCATAGCTTCATTTATCTTGTTGAGTTTCTGTGCAAGCCGCTCGACTTTAACCTTTTTAAACATCGCATTTCCACAATGCCATCTATATCAAGCTTTAAAGTACTTCCATCTTTTCATAAAAACGACTATTTATTTGACAAGTCAGCAGGGTGATTTTTTCTAACATAAAATCGATAGTCTGAAGTTAAATTATCAGACTTGAGAGAAGTACGGAGGAGCAAAGTAACTATTGCTTTTAAAAGCCACAATTAAGCCACATAAATATGAATGACTAGTCAAACTGCATTTTTTTGAAGTCCTGATGGTCTGGTTATTTATTAGAGCTGACGGAAGACACACAGCCTTCAAAGCAGCCACGATAGGTACGCATGAATCTTAGTCTGCTCTTCTAATTAGATTTAGGTTGCAGCCTTGATCAGTCAGAATTTAGAGCCATCTGTGATGGAAGAGAGACTTCCATTTTGAGGTTGAAATATTTTTAGTCAGTTTATAAACTTCCCTGGAAGCAATGGGCAGAGTGAGTTAAAGCATATCTTTGTGCCTCATATCTGTAGATCTGTTTGGCTTGTACCATCACTATTGTGAGAAAAACCCTGGGCTTGAACAGTGCAGTTTCTCATTATTACCTTAATCCCCTCTTCTTTTCGTTCAGGGTTGATAATTTTGATGAAGGAGTAAAACAGCTGCCTGATTCGCGAATCGCCAACAAAGGCTACCCGCTTTTCAGAGAGGCAGGTTTTGGCTTCACTGTAAAACATAAAAGGTTGGTGAGGGCCAAGCACAGATAAAAAACAAACAAACAAACATTTATTTACTGAAGTGAATAATGTTTTTGTCCTTTATTTGTCAATGAGTGATCTTTTATCCCAAAGTCCTTAGTTGAAATTACCCACAAACCCTTAGTGACTGACAAAAACTCACAACATCACTGCCACACATTTAAATCTTTATCCCAAACATACAGTGTAATAACTTCAGAGGTGGTGTGACTCACATGCTTTTGTATTTGTGCATCATGCAGCCATAAGGCTGCCATACATCCTCCCCCAAGTAACGTCCTCTGGACAGCAGCCATTCACACGAGTCCCCTCCTGGAGGCAAGACACAGAGAACTTTCTGGTGAGGCGAAACAAACAAGATCTCGCTTTCACTCACAGTTTCGCTCCGACTATGACAGAAACCTGCTGCCTCAATAGTGCCCTGGCTTTTCATTCTGTGCTGTCAAAAGGACCATACAATACACGGCTCTGGCAGGGGCCACAGTGCAAAATGAAGCCATCAGCGATCTAGCTCGAGCATAAATCTCTCCAGCTATTCATTTGTTCGCAAAATGAATGGAGCCATCTGCAGCTGAATCAATCCACAGAAACAGGCGAACATGAAAGGTGGGCAGACCAGCATGCAACATCATTCTCAGCCAAAGCAGCTGCTCATAGCACACTCTGCTCCCTAACCTTTTCGTGGGTGACGTCCACACTGAGCAGCCTAGGTACGACGTACATGTAAATAAGCCTGCTTTATTTATTCATAGTCCAACTCTATGCTCTGAGGACGTGTCACTGTTTGTCAACCAATTTATGAGCAAACCCTTTACTGATACATCCAGTGCACTATGCATATGCAAGTTACAGCCCTGGAACAAAGAAACGTGCAGCTACAATGTTATCACAAAGCAGCAAATCTAGAGTTTTTGAAGTTGTGAGCAGGGCGACAGGCACATTTGTGGCCAGTCTTACCGACAGTGCATTTATTCAGGAAGCTAGCTAAACACCATGTCGGGCGTATTTACATGACATTGGTCTCCAGGTGCAGAACAAATACACTTCCACGAACCTTTCCAGGGCTTTTCCAGCAGCAATAAAGCGTTTCTTGCAGCAGGAACGTCAGCAACATGTAAACACAGCTATTGGCAGTGTTAGCAGCTAACCAGCTGGATAACGTCGGGTCAAATTCACGCTTCCTTTGGAGACTTAGTGCGTGAAACCACCTATTTGCGGCACGCACGTTTTCAGGCGATAACTTTAACATCTAGAAAGCATCCCGTGACAAAAGCACGGAGCCCAGTAGCTAAGAAAAGCGCTGGCATGCAAGCAGCTACCTAGCTACCAGTAGCAATGTCAAGTGTTTCCAGTGGCCGCATCCACATTAAGTTGATCAAATAAAAGCAGCACTCACCTTCGTAATACCGCGAAGCAGCGTGAAACACGAGGAGTAAAAGAACAGCAACCAGCGATATCAGTTTCGCGTTTTTTATGGTAAAATGTTGATTTATTTCGCGTTTGCCCAGGCTATAGGCCAGGACCGCCATCTTTGCTCCTCCATGACAACAGGCAGCTGTGCAGTCTCGCGGCGGCGGCGCTCCGCTCAGCTCACCATATGCCAGCTCCACTCCCCGGCACACCGCCTCCTTCTCCTCCATCACTGCTGCTTAATGAGTCAGGTGCGGTTCAAGGAGACCTTCCAGCGGGTCTAAATTTGTCAACAAAATTATTATAAATAATATTATGGTGAGGCAAATCGTTTCTTTCGGGTGTCTGTAAAAAAGAAGAAAAAAAAAGTTTTATGCTGGAATGATCACAAGCAAAAGCAGGAATTTGGAGATGGTAACTTTTAGAAAAGCAAAGGCGCACTGTCATCAGGTCGATTGAAAACAGTGGTTTATTAGTTTGCACTGTTGGAAGAAGGCGTGGCTTTGCATAAAAAAAATTAATAATTAACCTGTAGTTTAGGGTGGAGGGGCGGGCTGTTAGGTGTCATGCGTTAGATGTAAGTAAACCGGCTTAACTGCATGTATCCATGATTGTGCAAGTGTGTCAAACCTGTTACATTTATTTATACACACTTTTACACACAGTTGACTGTGTGGAAGAGTAAAAGACGAAGTAGTAGTAATGGGTTCAAACAAAAACCAGACATCAAGTTTAGGAGTTTTTTTGTTTTGTTTTTTAAATTAGAGAGTATCAAAGTGGCTCTGTAGTGCAGATTTTGCTGTAGATCGATACCAAGTAACTACAGGGCCAGTATTGCTAGTACTAATACTCCTACAGGTACTTTTTAACCTATCAAGTAAATTCTAAACACATATTAATGATCACTAAATAACTGATTTGCACAGCATACCCAATATGCACAATATATGTTTTTATTTCCAAAAAATAGTGACGTTACTACAATTCAGTGAGCTACATACTGAACTTAGAGGTTAGAAACAAAGAAGAAGGTCTCTCTACTTAATAGAAAGGTTTCAAAGAATCTGAGAACATGGTATATATTTCTAAATCTTACATCTGAGTCTCCTGAGCTTCTTCGGGTTTCTGGGGAAACTGAAGATCAGGTGTAAATCTATTCAGAGTATGTAGCCAGTTCAGGCAGAAAACCAGTCAATTTCAAAGGTGCGACATAATGGTGTGCCACTGTAGGCACACATGCTTATGAATATTGTTGAATTACCTTTACCTTACATTGATGAAAGCAGGAATTTAATCATATCTGATAAAAATTACACAAGTTTAATTTACAGTATATGTTAGGTATTTTAGTACCATGGGAGCATTTACTGGATATTGTTTTATAGTGACATTATACAGGAAAACTCTGTCATTCAACAAGGTTGAAATACCACAGAGATCACTCCCTCAGCTACATTAGTTTCTTAATCTTTTAGACGCCTGTTGAAGGCCAAATGGTTTGTTTCAGATTTCACTAATGAAAGAACTCTTCGTTTTGTGCCTTGAAAATATGTCGCTGAGATAATCACAATTGTAGCTGAACTAATAAACTACACAAAGGATGCTTCTTCACCCAAGGGCAGGAAGACGCTGCCTTATCTTGGTCTGTACTGGTTTAAACTGATAAATCTGCTGTCTCATGAATTTTACCCTCTATATAAACTGTTGTACTTGTGAATAAAGTTGAGTCACTTTGGGAAGACAATCTAAAGCAGTCTCTGTTTTCTTGTTCTCCCAAGCTGCTCCCGAGCTGCTCGTACTAACACGCTGAATGGCATGCTTGAATATTACTTGAGAATATATTTGACTGTGTTACAGACTAAGGGACATTCTCTGCTGATAGGTGAAGGTACATTCTCTGCTGATAGACGTCCACGCCTCGGAGGAAGCCGATCCACGGAGTAGGCCCTGGAAACAGTTTCCTTCAGTATACATGCAGCTTCAGGTTCACTTTGAATTTGTTCCACTGCACATTTCCTATCTCTGAATCTCATGGACAGAACAACAAAGGAGACAAAACTGGCCCAACAACAGTTTTCTTTTCTTTCCACCCATCCATTCTCTTCCGCTTATCCTTATCAGAGTTGTGGGCCGTCCCAGACAGGTCGCCAATTTGATGCACAGCCATAGCTGGACTGGCCATCGGGCATACCGGGCATTTGCCCGGTGGGACGATGGGTTTTTTGTTTTTTTTCCGTAACGGTATAAACACTGAAAGGTGGTGGATTGGCCAGATGCTGGGAGATGTGTAAAAATAACTCAATTGTTTGGTGGTGGCATCGCGGAGCTTCCACAGATTCAGTAACATTAGCAAGTTCCAAGTGGTGGAGGCCAGCAGATGCAACACGCTGGCAGGTGGATGACAGAAAGGCAGAAGGAGCAGAGACCTGAGACGGTAAACTGAACTTCAGGTAAGAATGACCTGCAGTCTATCTGGGTCAGATATAAACCAAGTTTAGGTGGAGTTTATTTTCGTTATGCTGACTTTTAACAGTCAGTTACAATAACTTGTACTGTGTACTAACTAGCATGACAGAGTTTCTATACAGCTGGGCGGGTGCTTTGATGTTACTGATGTTAAACTTGTTTTATCTTATTTTATTTATAAGGTTAGTTATTAGAGTTTCCAACCGTCCCGTAAAAAACGGAATCGTCTCGTATTCAGAGAAAATATTACGGGTTTCGTATTGAGGTGAAAAGGAACACAGTTTGTCCTGTACTTCAGCTACAATGAAAAAGACACAAAGCTGGAGTTATTCTGTCTTTGCTGCACAGCTGCCTCTTCTTCATTCATTCTCCCCCCTCCCTCTCCTGTTTCTACTTCAATCATGAAACTGATCAATGATCAGCTGATCGGCTTTTCTCTCTTGTTTGTTTATCGCCCACTTTGCGTCAGAAACATAAAACCAGCGGAGGTCGCGTTAAACAATAGCAGCACATTTAAGCTTTATCAGCTGTTGTTAGAATTTATTTAATATTAATTCCTAGTATCAGCTGATGTTTGCTGGAGTCACAGCTGTAAAAGCTGCTGGTCATGATATGTGGTGAGAGGGAAACATGAAGATGAAACCAGGAGATGTCCTTACTGGATCATCAGAGCTGAACAGGTGATGGAGAAACAGGTTTACCTTTTAGGTGACATGATTGAGTTGAAGGGAAGTTAGAAACTGTTTCTGAGACACAAATAACACCAGGATCCTTTTTTTATGTAGCTGACAGCTGGTAACTGTGCAGGGGCGGGTCTAGCAAAGTTTTGCCAGGGGCCAGGTAGGGCATTAACAGGGAAAGGGGGGCACAAAGAAATACTTTTCTTTCTTATTCTCATTTAAAATGTCTAGCTTTTAACAAATAATTATCTGAATCTTACGTTTTCATCTGATGTAAAATGTATAGAAATCCATTATTGTACATAGTAATTTTTTTTAGGGTCCCATCATAATTTCTTCAGAAGTAGCTAAGTACTGTATATGATGCCAGTATTTTCCCACATTTTCTAGATTCTGTACCAGTACTGTGTGTAAAATGCCATCAAAAAGTCAATTAGTTTTATTCTTTCTCACCTGTCTTTCTATCTCCTTTCACTTTTTAAAGGTTGCCATGTTAGAAAAAATATTTTGCCCTGCCATGCTGTTTATTGATGTGGCAAATGAATGGTTTATGAAAATATATCTAAATCTGTCATCAGTAATCAGTAATGATCATGTCTCACCTCTAGTCTTCTCTGTCTTAATTTCAGGTTTTCACCATGTGTAGATAGTTCAGGAGGTTAACTCGACCAAGCAGTCCACTTTCGGGTACTGTTTAGAATACCACAATAGGAGGATGGTGTAGGTTTAAGTTTAAGATACATATATACCAACAAGACAGTGTACATCACTGTGACAACAGCGTTTGTTTTCATTCAAAGGATTTATGGTTTTTCCTATAATACCTGGTGGGCCGGTCTCTAGTCAAAATGCCCGGGCCGATTTTTTGTCCCAGTCCAGCCCTGTGCACAGCTAAGTTTTTGGGGTTTTTTGTTTCTTTTTTCTTTGTTTGCTTTTTGTTGTTGTCTTTTTGCTCCAACGATTATCTACACAGCTCTCTGTGCAGCTCTGTTAAATGCCTGCCACAGCATTTCAGTCAGGTTGAAGTCTGGACTTTTGACCGGGCAGTTGCAACACAACATTTTTTTAAAATTCTTTTTCAGCCATTCTGCTGTAGATTTGCTCCTGTGCTTTGGGGGTCACTGGCTTTTTGTATGTCCCACGTTTGGCCAGGCTTCAGATGTCAGACAGATGGCTTCATATTTGACTCTAGAATACTTTGGCATACAGAGGAATTCACAATCAACTTAATGCCTCCAAGTTGCCCAGACTGTCCTCAGCTGACTCACCCGTCTCTCTCTCCCTCTTTTTGCGATCTCTTTCCGTCCTCAGTTGACATGAGTGTGGGGAATGTTGCGTGCTATGCTGCAGAGGCGGCGCATCGCTGGGATCTCTGCCCTACTAATCACGCACCGGGAAGACATTCCTGATTTACCTGCTGTTGAGCTGATTGGGGCGTGACTTTAAGAGGGCGGTGTTTTTCCACAGTTGACACCAGCATGCAGTAAACAAGCTCGGCTCCTGTAATACTCACATGCAATCTATTGCTGTTGCTCTACTTGTCTTCGCCTCCTCTATCCTGACGCCTGTTGCTGACGCCTTCAACCCCCTGAGGGACCGACTAAAAGAAAGACTCTTTTAATAAAACATCCTTTAGTCTTACATTGTGCTCTGCATTTATGTCCAGGGGTCCACAACAAGCTTAATGCTGTGTCTGCAAAACAAGCCCAGATCATCACCCCTCCACCACCATGCTTAACAGCTGGTATGACTGGGCTGTTGGATTATGCATTATAACCATGATCTTGTATGTCCAAAGGAAATGGCTCCGGATGTCTGGTTTTGCAAACTTAATCCATTCTGTTGGTACCCTTCAAAGAAACCATGCTTGAATATCTCTGAGCATTGTGCAGCCTGCCCTTGGGGTGAATTTGCTGGGACTTCTGCTCCTGGGAAGATTTCAGCATTGTATTGTCACACAGCTAATCGGTCCAGACCTGCAAACCGCCTAAAGTTGTGCCTTTATAGAGGAGCTCACACTTGCTGATGATCATGTAATCAAGTGGTTTTGATTAGCAACACTTGACTGCTGCTACACTCTTAACTCCTTTGGAAGTAGGAAGGGTGTACTTAGCGTTTCACCACACTGAATAGATTCGTGTGAAAACTTTCTTCTTCTTCTTTCTATAATTTCAGCTTACTTTATATTTTAATAAACATCTCAGTGGTTTGATTGTCTCGGGATTTAATCATCTATCTGTAATATAACATTTACTACATAAACTGGTATATAAATAAAGTGGGACA